GTGTTTGTTTAACATCCATCTGTGCACAACTGTTATTGTTCAGTGCTACAGCTGAGACTCTGAGATATGAATGTTTATTGTCTAAGGTCTATAGAAATACTAATTTCATGAAAGAGATACATTTGAGAGACATTTTAAATCTATTTTCTTTGTCCATATCTCCAACCTTTTTTAGTAAAACAAATGTCCAACACTTACAAAAATATTGAACGCTAAAAGGTGTGCTTTTGTTAAATGATGCATTGGAACAGGTGGAGGATTTACACTTCACACTCATCACAATAGCTGTAGTCTTTCAAAGTTATATCCATTTTCTTAAGCCTGACAATGTTTTTGTTACAGCGATTTTATGCAGTTTTCTTACCCACACAAGATGTTTTGTCACTCCCACACTCAAGGGACACACACCTTTATCCACTTCCTAGGACTCGAGGTGTAACCCTCTAATTTAAATACCCTTTCCTAACCAATTCCTGGGACTCAGAGTATAACTTCCAGTGGGTTTTCAGGACCTTTTACCAGTGAAAGAGCCTTACACAGTAATATCCTCATGTTCTATTTAGTAACAACTACCAAGTAAGCGGAATACAAGTGGCAAGCCTGTATGCAGGAGGGTGCAAAGGGTGCGAAAGCACTCCCATAATCCCCAATTAAGCATGCTCCAGCCTGCCAGGGGAAGGCAGGAATAGTGTGCTGCCCAAGTCTCCCTCCCCCATGCTTTGGTGGGCTGGAGAAAGGTTGGGACTGATTTCCCCTCTTACTTGGAGGACTTGGGGAGGGGGTGCAATCACCTCTTTGTGGTCCGCATTTACGAAAAAAGCACCACCCACAGAAATTCCTGCATATAGGCCTGCATGGTAAACGTGTATGTGCCATGCTCACCAAATCCTGATCAAGGCAGACAAACTTCCCCTGTTGTCCAGGCCAGGTCAGTCTTGTCTGGATTCTGGTTGTGCACATCAGTGTCACTGAATATACATCACCTTGTCTGAACACATCTGCTTTGTTTAGGTTTTTCTATGCCCTTGAAACCACGTTAGGGTCTGAGAAACTGAATGACTCACACAGAGAAGTTTTGAAGTCTCAGAGGGGTAGAGTGTTAGTCTGTAAGGGTATGTCTACACTACAAAGTTAATTCGAACTAACAGCCATTAGTTCAAATTAAATTTGATAGGCGCTACACATACAAACCTCTAGTTCGAACTTAATTTGAACTAGCGGAGCGCTTAATTCAAACTAGGTAAACCTCATTCTACGAGGACTAACGCCTAGTTCGAATTAAGCAGTTCGAATTAAGGGCTGTGTAGCCACTTAATTCGAACTAGTGGGAGGCTAGCCCTCCCCAGCTTTCCCTGGTGGCCACTCTGGGTACCACCAGGGAAACTCGTCTGCCCCCCTCCCGGCCCCGGAGCCCTTAAAGGGGCACGGGCTGGCTACGGTGCCTGTGCCAGGTGCAAGCCTGCCAGCACCC